GGGGTTGAAATTGATTAGGTGTCTTCTAGAACTGAGAGACAGTTCCCTTTCTTCACATTTGAGTTTGCTTCCAAATGGACTGCAACCCTTCTGGCCCAAGTTTTAGACTGTCTGATTCCTCAGTGAGCCCAGAACACTGCCTTACATAAAGTATGTCCTTCATAAGACCAAATATTAGTTTCACGGACTTCCCTGTAGCCAGATCAGTAAAGCCCCTAGGGATATTCTGAGGGCACAAACAAATCATTGTCCTACACACAATCTAATGTCTCAGGATTTGTGATAGAATTATTCTCTCTAGAGACTCATTCTGTGTTCTTTCTCATAGATCACTGGTCACCATAACAATTAAGAAAAAAACAAATCAAAACACAACTCTCCACACCTTGGACTTGCTGAGGAACAACTTTCCACAGTCCCTTCTTTTAAGCTGTGCTGAATCTTTGACTAATATCCCCAGCCGAGCACGGTTGGGTAGTACACACTGAAACTCACAGCTTTAGTGGCAACATGTACGTGATGCCAGCATACTTTTGGCCCCAAGTATTTTCCTCATTCTCCCCGAAATCCTTTTATTTTCACACTGAGTGAACATGTGTCTTTATTTTGCTGAATGTCTAAAATTCCATCATTAGAAGCTCATCTCTTCACATTAACAGGCGTCTCCCTTTTAATAAGCCTGGCACTGTTAACACACGAAGACAAGGAGCAGTCATCATCCACTGTGGAGGAAATTCATTTAAACTGAGGCGTCACCGACTCTTGGTGTTGAAATCTACCTGTCTTGGTGATCTTCTCATAACAAGGTGGTTCAGGCAACACTACAACTTTGTTAGGAAAAGGGAGGAGGCAGTGATATTTAAACAATCATTTCCAAATCTTACTGTACATCAGAAAACTGAGTATTTTTAATAATTAAGTCCTGAGCCCCAAAGCATAAATTTAAGTCAAACAGAAGCAACTGGGCCAGTAATTAGGCGAGCAAAGCTCAGCTGAGGAGAAGAGCAGGTGTCACTGGTGAGCGATGGTGGGAGGTAGAGGTACCTTGTCAGAGACTGACCTAAAGCCAGGGAGGATGAAAGGAGAGAGGTGGTTTAGGGTGGATGCCAAGGATGAGAAACTACCTCAAGCTTTTCTTTTTGTTACCAAAGAAAAACTGCTTTACGATTTTGCCCTTGGTAACTTTACTGGAATTGAAGAATTACTAGTTGCAAAAGGGTAAGAGGAAAGAAAAGAAATAGAAGACAGAGGGGTTAGTCTGGAAAATATTTTAACACTAAAAAATATGCTCAGAAGTAGTCAGAACATAGGAGAATATATATCTTTGGCAGCTTGGTGTGTATATAGTGAGTGTGTGTATGTGTATATATATATATATGCAAAAGGGTATGGTAGCCAAAAGGATGAGCAGGTATGTGGTGTCCATTGTAAAGGACTCTTCAATATGCCAATAAATTGAGATGTGAACCTCCAGACATTTGAAAGATAATACTGGTGACAGGAGAACTGGAGGGACAAGATGCCAAAAACAAGAAAGCCAGTTTAAAAGTAACATTAATCTGGACACAATAAGGTAAGGCTCTGAATTGAGAGGTGGCTGAAGTTTTGCAGGAACTGGGAGGAGAAGTGGCAGAACCTGGAGGCTGCTACATGGGAGCACATTCCTGGCTTTCTGTCTGCAGGATGCTGCTGGCGTTAGACAAGAGTAGACAATATAGGAGAAGACTTTGGAGGACAGGTGTTGAATTCAGCGTCGAAGATGTTGGGCCCAGCAGGCTTTTAGGACATCTGCATGGGGAATTTGGTGGCTAATGGATACTGATCCATCTGGAGACCCTGATTTGAAAGAAGAGTTGGCCCAGAGTGGAGCTATAGAATGAAGATGACAACCTACGATGGAATTCTGCAAACACCAGCAGCACCTGTGCCAGCTTGAAGGATGAGCTGAGGCCTGAGGTGGAGGGTGCTTCAGGAGGACATTAAAGACTTTTTTTTTCTTTTCAAACTAGGAGAGATGTTAGAATTTTAATAGACAGAAGGGAAGCTACATTAAAGAGAAATTTTGAAGATGTACTTTTAAAAAGAGGTTACTACTTGGCAGGGTTCCAGGGATAAGAGATGTAACCCAGGAGGGAGGACTGTCCTTGGTCTGTTGACACACTGGAGAATCTCAGTGATGCCATTAAGTTCCATTTGCTAGTGTGCTGGTCTCCTTTCCATTCAACCTGCCCATGAGTGATGAAAGGTGGTAAGTATGGAACTAAATGATGAGGAGAGCTCTTTCTTAAGCTCTTGAGAGAAAGTTTATGGAAAGTGAATTTGAATCTGGATGTTAAAATTAGATTTAAGGGGCCAGTGCTGTGGCACAGTGGGTTAATGCCCTGGCCTGAAGCGCCAGTATCCCATATGGGTGCCGGTTCAAGTCCCAGCTGCTCCACTTCCAATCCAGCTCTCTGCTATGGCCTGGGAAAGCAGTGGAAGATGGCCCAAGTCCTTGGGCCCCTGCACCTGCCTGGGTCCATTGCGGCCAACTGGGGAGTGAACCATCAGATAGAAGACCACCCCCCTTCTCTGCCTCTCTTCTCTCTGTGTAACTCTTTCAAATAAATAAATCTTTTAAAAATTAGATTTGAATTGCTATGTTTTGGTTTTATCTTCTTTAAATTGAGAGACAGAGAGATACCATTGGCTGGGCCAAGATCAAAGCTGGGAGCTGGGAAGACAATCCAAGTCTCCCATGAGGGTGGCAGGAGCCCAAATACTTGAGCCATCACCACTGCATTCCAGTGCATCAGCAGCAGGAAGCTGGGGTCAGGAGCCAGTCTCGAATTGAACCCAGGTACTCTGACATAGGACACAGGCATGTTAAGTTCTAGACTCAACACTCACTCTGCAGGGGTGATAGGTTTCCAAAGTGGTTTATATGTATGATGGAAGGATACAGACACACATACGCACATACCTTTAAAATGTTAACTTATGCATGTGTTTACATCACAAAATTGTACATGCATAAAATTTGCAACTATATGTGTTGAGTTATGATAATGTTCCAAAATTGTATACAATTTATAAAATATTTGCTACTTATCTAGAGGTTTCAAATACTCATGTTAACCTTAGATACCCATGAAAGATGGTGTTGCTTCCTAAGAAACCTTAACTGGAGGGTGAACCAACGGAAAAAGGAAGACCTTTCTCTGCCTAACTCTGCCTGTCCAAAAAAAAAGAAACCTCAACTGGCATTACAATGACAAAACTTTATTATGATCATTTTAAATCAAGAGGAAACTTGTTCCTTGAGTATGCAAACTGGAGCATGACAAGGGAATAAACATACAAAATATTTTTTATGGATGTCAATGTAAATCACCTCTACTTGCCTGCACTGATTCAGCCTCATTAACTAATTTTAGGTTAAAAAAAAAATCTCTGAACCTGACCTTTATGCCTTGCAGCTACACATTCCATTAACGTGTTTCTCACTGCTCTTAAAGAACAAGCCTCAACACTTCAAAGATAGTATTAAAAGCTATGGAAGCACAACATTTTGCTAAGTAATTAAACAGAGATGAAAAGCTTGCATTTGTATTTCTATTAGCTTTTAGGAAGGTGATCATTTTCCAGGGTCCTGTTTTCATTGTCAAATCCAACTTTGAAACCCCTACATTGAGGGGTAATGGTCCCTCAAAACAACTCTTCTGCTCCCAGGAAACATGGTAGACAGAAAACCTAATAATGCCAGCTCTCTGTGGGCTTGGCGCAATGGTGCCCTTTTGCTAGGAGAACCTGGAGACAATGCCACGGGGTCTACCTGGACCAGATTTCTTCTACCTTAAAGAGGAGGACTGGCTGAATGGAGAGCAGTTTGGGAAATAGTTGCTTCTTTAAAAACGCAAACAAACAAAACCACGTATGCACCAATGAAGAACTTGGAGATCAGACACCATTTTTTGTTTTGGTAGCTGTACAAGATAAAACGTGACCCCCTCTCCCCTCCTGTAACCAAACTTCTTGAACGCACCTTAGGTTCTGAAGAAAGCTCTGGACAAAGTACTCTCGACAGCTGCTTAGCCTCATTTCTCCACGTAGTGCAAACAAAGTCAGGAGGTGGGTGTGCCCCATTCCCATTGCACTGCAGGTGGAGCTATTCCCAGATGAATTTTTGCCTTGAGGTACCTAAGGCCAAGGAAGAGGAAAGAGGGGCCGGCACCTAGAGCCCCACGCTGCACATTGGAGAGCCCGGGTTCCGAGTCCGGGCTCTTCTTTCCAGCTTCCTGCTAACCTAGCCTGGGAGGCAGGCTCAAGCCGCTGGGTTCCTGCTTCCCAAGTGGGAGACCTCGAGTATGAGCTCCTGTCTTCAGGCTCTGCCCTTGCAGGCAACTGGGGAGTGAACCAACGAATGGGAAGGTGGCCTCTCTCAGTCCCTCCCAAATTTTATTTTTTAAAAGAAGAAAGTGGAAAGAACTTTTCCTGGACTAAGCGTACATTCGTTGCACAGAGGAGGTTACAACAATAAGAGGAAGGCAGACGGGAAGGATTTATGAGGCGCTTGGTTATCCTACAACTCCTATGGGAGGAAACGCCAGTGCTGTGTCCAGAAGCAAGAAATGCGGGCATTATTCACAGGCTTGGGGTGGAAAAACCAGCAAGTGGGACCGGAGTCTCCTGCCAAGCCCGAAGGCATCGCAGTCCCAGGCACACGCAGCACCTGTCTGAGCCATCTCCCGGACACCGCAGCCCCACTCCGTCCGCACGGGCTTGACTCGTGCTCGTAGACGTGACTTAGGAGGGCGCTTCACCCGCAGGGCGGATTCGCCTTTGGGGACTCCACACGTGGGAAGAGCAAAAACGGAGGGGTCTCTCCTCAACCAGCTCCGGATGCTTGGGAGCCGGGACCGGCGCAGAGCCTACTCCCTGGCTCCGCATCACCCCCCAGCTTCTGGCCCCTGCCCGCTCAGTCCCTCCCGGCGTCGGTGCACAGCAAACCGCAGACTTACCTTGGCTCAGCGCTAACACCAGCTGCAGCTGCAACAGCGGCCGCGCGCCCCCTGCCTGTCCTGGTCGCATCCTGGGTCTGCCCCGGGCACGGCGGCTGCTCTGCGGGATTTGCGAGCGGACACCCTCGGCCCAGGGATAGGAGAACCCGGAGACTCTCCAGAAGCTGTCGGGAGTGCTTCTCTTCTCCGAAAAGGCCCGCCCCGGCACGCCCCTCCCGCCTCAGCAAACACCGGATCTGCCCCGGCCCCGCCCCGCCGAGCCCGGACCCCGCGGGCCACACCTCAGCTCCTGAGCGCCCCGGGCAGCCGCACCTGGACACCCTTACAACTCGCCCCACCTGGGCAGGAGGCCGCCGCGGGGTCGGAGACCTAGAGCCCTGCAGCCTTTCCTGCCCTGCTTGGCGCTGGCCCCGTCCTACCCCGCCCCCTGACTGCCCGTCATCCGACCCCAGGAGAGGCCTCTGGGCAGCCCTTTGTCGCTCCGGACTCCTGGCCGGGCGGAGTCTCCAACTGTAAACCCCAGTTCTTAGGGACTGCTAAGTGCATCGCTCTCCCCGCCTTTCCTGAGGGGGTGGAGAAACGGACAAAAATAGGTGCAGAATGACCGGGGTAGAAAGTCACTCATCAGGAAAGAGCTCCTTAAAAGTTATGATTATCCCAGGTGGTGTTTAAGAAAGACCTGCTGCAAGAGCGCCGAGAGAGAGAGAGAGAGAGAGAGAGAGAGAGAGAGAGAGAGAGAGAGAGGTCATCATTCATTGTTCCCTTCCAAAACTGCAAGGAGCTGGTTTTCCTCAGTGCACGTATGTGAACTCGTGCCTCTGCGCCACGGTGACCGTTTTCTTCCATTCCTTCAGTCTCAGGACTGGAAAGAGAACATTCTATAATGATATCTGCATTTTTTTTTAAGCTTACAAGCCTAAGAAATAGAATCTTCACATTTCTTCTACAAATTTGACCAACAGTTCCTCAGCTCGTTGCTGACATCGGAACTGTTCCAGGACTGCTTTTGTGTCATCAAATGTTCTCCTAAGTTTAAAAAAGAGGTATTAGGCTAATTACTATTATTATCAGCAGGTTCCAAATCTTTTTTTTTCCCAAAGAAAACTTTTATTTAATGAGTACAAGTTTCATAATTACAACTTTAGGAATATAGTGATTCTTCCCACCACACCTGCCCTCTCACCCCCATTCCTATCCCACCTCCTCCTTCTCCCATTCCCAGTCCCATTCTCCATTAAGAGTCATTTTCAATCAACTTTATATACAGAAGACCAACTCTATACTAAGTAAAGATTTCAACAATTTGCACACGCACACTCACACACAAATTGAGAACAAATGTCACAGTTAACTCTCATACAACTCATTGAAGAAGAAGTCCTGCATGGGAATTTAGTGCACAGAGACTCCTGTTGTTAATGTAGCAATAAACTCTCTTATGTATGATGTCAGTGATCGCCTGAGGCTCTTGACATGAGCTGCTAAGGCTATGGAAGCCTTTTGAGTCCACAATCCCCATCAGTATTTTGACAAGGCCATAATCAAAGGGGAAGCTCTCTCTTCCCTTCAGAGAAAAGTACTTCCTTCTTTTTCCTTCTTTTTTGGCCCCTTCTTTCCACTGGGGTATCACAAAGATCCTTCATGTAGGCTTTTTTTTTTTTTTTTTTTTTTTTTTTTTTTTTGCCACAGTGTCTGCTTTCCATGCCTGAAATGCCAAATCTTTATGGCACACAGCTATGAGTGGGATGGGATGGCTGGAATACTGTCGCTAATGATGGAGTTGCTTCCAGGTGGGAAGTCATGAACTGACCAAAATCAAGCTTCTCTTTACCATAGGTAGGGCTGAGCCGAAGCCCTGAATTCTTTAAGTGTGACCCAAAATGTGTAGCCCCAGGTTCTTTCCTCTTTCCTTATCTGTCACTTACTAACCCCACTTACTAATCATGACAAACGCTCCCAGGTGTTTCCTCACCCACCCCGGGCTCACCTGTTTACTAAGACTCCTGCTGTCACCTCACAGCTCCTGGGTGGCAGCTCACTAACCCTGACACACAGCCTCAATTCCTCACAAAGTTCGTGTTGGAAGTCAGCCAGGTTTCAGGAAGATGCATATCTCTTTCCTTCTGATTCACCGAAATGTGAGTAAGTGCTTGGAACAGACCCTTGTTTGGGAGGCAAGATAGTTCCGTGACTGGAGACAGAAATTCGGGCTTTGTCTCCAGTCGCTGGAGAGAAAAATGCACCCTTCTTTGCTTTTGATCTCAGAACAGGACAAATTAACATTACACTGGGATGAGGTATAAAATAAATCAGAAGCATTTTTCCAGAGCAGGCAAGATGTTTAGGAAGCAGAGAACAAACCTCTGCCTTATATTAATTGTAAGAGACAAAACAGTTAAAAAACCGCTGCCTTAGTCGTTTTAGGTGCAGTCCTGCCGAGGGGTCGGTAATTGTGTTGGCACCACATTCTGACCTGGAAACAAGGAAGATTAAGGCAGGACTTCTCTACTCCGGTCTCAGCGGCCCTTGGCACTCTTCAGATTATTCGGGATCCCACTTTTATTCCTGTGGATTTGTCCTATGAATGTTTACTGTCAGCAGTTAAAACAGGGAGTGGGTGTCTGGCTGCATTCCCTTGTGGGACTGCTTTGTTCAAGTCCCAGCTACTCAATTTCCTATCCAGCTTCCTGCCGAAGTGCACTCTGGGAAGCAGCAGGTGATGTCTCAGTACTTGGGTCCCTGCCACCCATGTGGGAGACCCAGACGGAGTTCCAGGCTCCTGACTTTGGTCTGACCCAGTCTTGGCTGTTGTAGACGTTTGGGGAATGAACCAGCAGGTGGAAGATCTCTGACTCTCTCTGCCTTTCAAATAAAAATGAAAAAAAAAAAATCATCATTTAAAATATTTAATTCATTTAAAAATATTAAATCCATTACATGTTAATAGTATAAATTTTGTGAGCAATAACTATATTTCCAAAAATAGAAGACTCCATGAGAAGAGTGGCATTCTATTACATTTTTGTCAATGCTGTAAATATCCAGATTAAAAAATAGACAATTTGAATCTTACCTACTTCTGCTTTCAATCTATTATGATATGTAGCTTTAGTGAAATTATATGAATTAATCTGGTGTTATAGATTAATTCTGAGGGTGCTTCAAAAAGTTCCAGGAAAATGGAATTACATAATAAATTCATTTTGGTGCAAAAAATTTTGAAATCTGTATATATCCAGGGTCTTCCATAACGTTTTGAAAAAATTCATTTTATGAAAAAGTATGAAACTTATCATCTTTGGCCAGGCATTTGGCCCAGTTGTTAAAATGCTTGCATCCCGTATCAGAGTGCTTGAGCTGGAGTCTGATTCTGTTTTTGATTCCAGCTTATTGCTGCATGTAGACTCTCAGAGGCAGCAGGTGAAGGCTTGAAAGGTTAGGTTCCTGCCCCAGACATGGGAGGCACCTGGATTGAGTTCCAGTCTCCTGACTTTAGCCCTGCCTCAGCTCAGCCCTTGTGGGCATTTGGTAAGTGAACTAGTGGATGGACGCTCTCTCCCACTCTCTCTCTCTGCCTCTCAAAGAAACAAAATTAAAAAAATCTTTCAATTCAAATTTCCACAAATTTTTTAAAGTAGCTTCATATATAGTTATAAAAATAGAAGACAATTCCAGATAATCCCCTGATACTACACTCAAGCCCAAGAAATTGTAGACTCTTAAAAATGAGTTGCAATGTTGTGTATGAAACTGTATCCATGATTCCCTAGTCTGTGAAATCAAAATTTGTTGGCCTACTGATCTTTCTCTCTTTCCCTCTCATCTTCCTCTGTGAATACCGCATGGTGAAGAACAAAATGATAACTAGCACCACTCCCAGGTCTTGCATCTGCAGGGCAAATATCAGCACAGTGAAAAGTCAAATAATATCTAAGGTTATCTTGAGAATGGTTTTGACTCCACTCAAGACCACCCAGAGACGAGACTCTGAAACCACACGGGGTTGGGGTGAGACCCTTCTTCTCTTCTTTCTTTTAGCTCTAGGCAGGAGGTTTATAGGGGGAGAGGGCTCAGGTGAGTTTTTCCCAGCATTCCCTTCTGATCTCCTTTGTCTTCCGGCCTGCTCTTTTCTTGGCTTCTCTCATTCCCACATTATAATCACCCAAAGCAGAAACATCTGCTTTCTTCTTCAGGCCACCTGGCCGCCACACTGCTCCGAGTGTGTCTGTACTGCCCCATGGCCACCAGTACCATGTGTCCTTTTCTGTTTCATTGCTACTTTCCTTAGCATGAGCCCTTCTGATCTTTTACTGCGATGACCGACTCCTATGCAATCTTTCTTTGCTTCCCACCTCTCCTGTTGCAGAAGTCTTTCTATAACACAGAATTATCTGCTGATAATATCTTGATGTCCACGGAATAAAGTTCAAGCACTTATCATTTAACTCCCAACGGAGTCCCTGCACCTCTGCAATCGCTCTCACCATCGTTCCTTCTAGAACATTGCATGTAATTCCAATTCACCTTTTCCCTTCTTTCTTTGTGATTTCTTAGCTACTTTTCCACTTAGAGTAGCTTTCTCCTGTTGTTCAATTCTCAAAATGCTACTTGAAGGACCCTGTCATGTTTTATATTATCTATGCAGTCCTTGTCTTCCCTTCGCTCAGAGCCAATTATTCCTTCTTGACTCTTGACTCGCCCAAGTTTTTTATTTCGTGATATTTTCCCCTAATAATCTTTATTTTGTATATATTACTATGTGAATTGAATTCAGTCATATGTTTATATTCTACCTTCTCATTCACATTCTGGGTCTCTAAAATCTTACATGTTTATATTACAAGATTCTTGTCTCATACTTGGCAAATAATAAGTTCTATACACTATACATTTTTTATTTTTTTTTAATTTTTTGACAGGCAGAGTGGACAGTGAGAGAGAGACAGAGAGAAAGGTCTTCCTTTGCCGTTGGTTGACCCTCCAATGGCTGCCGCGGTTGGCGCGCTGCGGCCGGCGCACCGTGCTGATCCGATGGCAGGAGCCAGGAGCCAGGTGCTTTTCCTGGTCTCCCATGGGGTGCAGGGCCCAAGCACTTGGGCCATCCTCCACTGCCCTCCCTGGCCACAGCAGAGAGCTGGCCTGGAAGAGGGGCAACCGGGACAGAATCCAGCGCCCCGACCGGGACTAGAACCCGGTGTGCCGGC